AAGACCCTCAGCAGATGTGTTCCCTGCACTGTGGACTTCCCAGCCTCAGAAACTGTAAGCAATAAATTACATTTTCTTTATAAAACGCCGAGTTCCATATATCTTGTTATAAGCAACAGAAATGGACTAATTACTTTTTTGAGAATTCACATGTTTGAACATGTCTTTTTTGTTTGTTTGTTTTTGTTTTTTTGTGACCGGCCACACCGCGCTCAGCCAGTGAGCGCACTGGCCATCCCCATATAGGGTCCGAACCCGTGGCGGGAGCGCTGCTGCGCTCCCAGCGCTGCACTCTCCGAGTGCGCCACGGGCTCGGCCCGAACATGTCTTTAGTCTACCCTTTTACTTGATTAATAGTTTGGGCATACGGTTCTAGGTTAAAAAGCATATTCCCCCAAATTTAGAAGATATCACCTCCCAACTTCCAATGTTCCACTGTTGAGATGTCTGATGTCATTCTTATTCTTGATCCTTTGTATGAAACTGGTTCTTCCCCTCCGGAAGCTTCTCTGTGTCCTCCATGTTCAGACATTTCAGGAAGATAAATCCTGGCATAGGTCTAATTTTATCCATTGTGCTGGGTACTTTAAGGGTCCTGTTGTTCTGGAAACACACCTCCTTCAGTTCAGTTCAGAGAAGGGTTCTTGGGTTTGTTTGCTTTTTTTTTTTCTTTTTTAAAGACTCTCTCCCCTTTATTTTCTCTGTTCTCTTAAACTCCTACATTAGGCTCCTAGACTTTTAAATTGAGGGTTGGTTGGTTTGTTTAAGACTTTTATACTTCATTTTTCCAATAGATATTACCACTGGAGCTCTGACTAGAATTCTCTGGAATTAGTTTAGTTTCTATTTGGAAAAAGTAAAACTGTACATGAAGTCGGGAAAGGAAATGTAAGTACGTGGAAGAAAGACAACTGGATACCTCAAATGGCTCATAAGCAAAAAACAAACCCAATCCTACCAGACGTACAATGCCTTTTGGTGACCTAAAATACTGACAGGCATGTCAACGCAGAAGGAAAGAAACCAAACTTTTTTGAGACCTTCACTGAATGATGATAAAATATTTGCTTACTGCTAAATGATATGCGTACTGATAGGACTGTTATACTTCTTTACAATTAATGTAATGGTTGAAAGTAAAGAAGTGACATTCAGTCCTAAATCATTTTTGCTTTTATGAGCCATTTGAGGTATCCACTTCTACTTTTCCCAAGAGCTCTTTTGCTGTGTGAATTTTATTTTTATTTTATTTTATTTATTTATTTTTTGTCCTTTTTGAGACCGGCTGCACCACACTCAGCCATCCCTATACAGGATCCGAACCCGCAGCGGGAGCGCCGCACTCTCCCGAGTGTGCCACGGGCTTGGCCCCTGCTGTGTGAATTTTAGAACTGCATTTTGTTCTCTTTTCATGGATGCAATATCTTACTAAGGATATTCATGACAGTTTGTCTTTCGTTTTTGTTTTTTGGTGGCTGGCCGATATGGGGATCAGAACCCTTGAGTTTGGTGTTATTAGCACCATGCTCTAAACAAATGAGCAACCGGCCAATGTAACATTTTTTTTTTTCTTAAGTTTTCTTTCCCCTGCATATTGTTTCCTCTAAGATGCTTTCTTCTGTTGGGTTGTTTTGATCTGTCTTTCATACTAAATGCTTTCCTTACCTGGTGATCTTTGGCTGTCTGCTCAAGTTTAAGAATGGGGCTCTGCTAAGTTGTTTGGGAAGTTCTGTGGGTGTGGGTGGGCTTGGTGCTGGAGGCCTTTCCTGGGGGTGCTCCGGCCAGCCTGTTTTATTAGGAGGCATTTAAGTCTTTTATCTTGAGCTAGTCAGATGCCCTAGAGATTTCTCCAATTGTCTGCCTTCTCCCAGGAAGGTCAAAGTCAGGCTGCCAGCACCTGGAGCACAAGGGGATGCAGAGACTTACTCTTTACAGGAGAATATCCTCACTCCTCTGCCTGGGGTCCCAGGCTTCTAGGCTACAAAGTGAGCAGGTCTTTTTTTTTTTTTTTTTTAAGGATGACTGGTAAGGGGATCTCAACCCTTGACTTGGTGTTGTCTGCACCACGCTCAGCCAGTGAGCGAACCGGCCATCCCTATATGGGATCCGAACCCATGGCCTTGGTGTTATCAGCACCGCACTCTCCCGAGTGAGCCACAGGCCGGCCCAAAGTGAGCAGGTCTAATGGTCTGATGCTTTAATAGTCTTTCAACTGACCCTCCATATTTAGCTCCATTTCGTTCTGCCTTCCAGAAGTTCTTCATGCCAATTCCCCAGCCTTGTGTGGATTCTCCCGACACCAAAAATTGGGTTCTCCTATATCCCTCCTCCTGATGAGGATACAGTCTTCTTGGGTCCGTTAATTTGGTTCCAGTCCGTCTGCTTTTCCGCATCCAAAATTTTGTTACTGTTGACTCCTCTCTTCATGGGCTTATGCGATTTTAAAAATGCCCTTCCTCTCATTGTAGTGGGGATTTAGGAGCAAGTGGACCCAAAAGTGTGTGTTCGATCTATCATGCATAGTTATGCTAATGCTCAAATCTCTTAAAATTAAAAAACTATTAGCTTGAAACCAAATGATCATACCGGTAACCAAGATATTCTAAAGCTTTGAATCAAAGAGCACTTTATTGGGCCGGCCCGTGGCTCACTCGGGAGAGTGTGGTGCTGATAACACCAAGGCCACGGGTTCGGATCCCATATAGGGATGGCCGGTTCGCTCACTGGCTGAGCGTGGTGCTGACACCACCAAGTCAAGGGTTAAGATCCCCTTACCGGTCATCTTTTAGAAAAAAAAAAGCACTTTATTACGCATTATCTCCTCCAAAGCTGGTGACAATCCCGTAGTGGTAAAGATTATTCTTTGTTTTATAGATGAGCAAATCAAGAAACAAGTTTTGCATACTTTATCGAAAGCAAAATGACAGCACAGACCAAATGTGGAAGGCCTTTAAAAATTACTATTGGAATTTATTACAAATGAGAAAAATCAGGAGACCTTGCATAAAAATATCCGATTTTCGTCAGTTCTTGAAAAATCAGAAAGTGGGGCAACACTGGGCCCACGCTCTCCTGGTGACAATCATCTGTAGTTGAGCTGTGGCTGCTCCTTTCAGATGTGGCATGAGCTATCCAGTTCAGCCTCCATCCACCTACTTCACCCCTTCTTTACCAGGAGACATTTGAAATTGAAACAAGAAAGAAAGAAGACATTTAAACATTTATTTGGCAAGATGAAATGGAACTTAGTATACAGGCAACAACGAATCTGTAACACAAGCCTTCTGTGTCCCGCCCAGTGTCCACCTTGAGTAGGTTAAATGGTCACCTCTGAGACTAGAAACACAGGTAAGTGGCACAAATCCACACAGAATATGCATATTTTGTCTCCTGTCCCCTCACAAAGGCTGCATATGCTTGTGTAAACATTTGTTGATTTGTAAAGCATGTGTAGTTCTGTAGACAAATGTGCTGGGACAAAAGGAAATGAAGTCACTAGAACAGCAACAAGGGCAGTTTACATGGCTTGGTTCATCAAGGTTGCATTTGATGATAAATTCCCATACTGCCTCAGGGGAGGGGAGAAGAGAGACATTTAGAGCATTACAGTTTCAGAGGTTTTTCCTTCTTATATATCCATAAAGCCTCACTTATTTATTCATTCATTAATTCATTCATTCATTTTCTTTTATTAGCAAAACTGAAAGGACTATTAAACTCCAGTTTAACTTTATATTTCATTCCCAGGATCCTCTAAATAACAGCAGCTCTCAAATCCTGGCTCCAGCTTAGCCTCTAGCTAGCAGCATCACTGTGAAAGAATCTACCTCTTAGAACTTTGGCTTCTCTATCTGTGAGATGAAGGTAGCAGATAATGCCAGCTCTGCTAATCTCTCCTGCTTCTTGCACTTGAAGTTAAGTCTCTGATGTTATCTTCCCAGTTGGGCTGCAATGTCCTGGATTTGCTTTTTTTCTTCTTCTTGGAATGCCTGGCATTTGTGGAAATAGAAGATGCCCTAATCAGCTTTAGAAGGCACAAAACTAGGTATCGAAGGTGGAATAAATTCTTCTGCTGGCTCAGAAGGATCTTAACATCTTGCAAGTTACTTTTGTACTCTCAAGGGTCCTTACAGGAGCATCTGCTTAGCTCTACACCCAGGCCATCTGTTGGGAAAATGGAACAACTTGGTCACGCTCTCCTGCCTCAGGGCCAGATAGGGGCGGTTCTGTAAACATTGTGTTTGTGGGTGGAGTGTGCCTGCAAGGCAACGCCACTTTGGCTGGTTTTTACTGCCTTGGGCGCCCACCTGTGCAGCCATGTTTTTTCCAGACTTGCAGCTTCCAAGGATTGTGTGGCCGGTTACCTAGCTTATAGACCTGCATGAAGGGATCTGGTGACCCAGCCTGGCATATGAAGGGTTTGTGACCCAGTCTGTGAACGGGCTTGCAGGGTCTGTGAGCTCCAGGCCCAGCCCTAGCTCAACCATCAGCCCAGTCAGTGCAGGATTACTGGCAGGTAAAAGAGCCCAATAACTAGCGTGGTCACCTAGCTTTACACCATCTCAGCCTCCTGGAGGATGAGGGGACCAGCTACTGACATTAAGGCCATGTGGGTGGGTGGGGAGCAGAATTGCAGGGGTGATGGCTCAAGCCAGTCCAGAAAATGAAACATTAATTGGTTGATTAGAACCTCAAAAAGTCAGAGCAGTGACTAGGGATGGCTCTAAATTTGTTTACACATTTGTTCAGTGCCTACTCTGTGCCAAGGCACTGTGTTTTTGAGGCCCAGAGGCCACAAAGTCGGGATAGCTCCTGCCCTCAGAGCTTAATAAAGCAGCTCAGCCAAAGGTTTGAACAGGAGTGGACAAACTACAGCCCAAGAGGGCCACCTGTTTTTGTAAATAAAGTTTTACTGGAACACCAGCCACGCTCATTTGTTTACATATTGTCTATGGCTGCTTTTGCACTATGACAGCAGGGTTGGGTATTTGCAACAGAGGTGATATGGCCTGCAAAGCCTAAAATGTTTATTATCTGGCCCTTTACAAAAAAAGTCTTGCCAATTCTTGCTAGAGAAGAGATGACATAATTAAGAAATTAGATTGGTGATCAGGGAACCCAAATTATTTACATAACAAAATCTCACAGAGAGAGAAGGGTGGCTGAATTAACAATAACAAAAGAAGCATGAGTTATATGGGGCTTGATTACTTTGAAGAGATAAATCACAATAAAGTAGCTTCTTGCTTACATTTAACATGTGCAATTTAACTATATGCACTGACACACACACACCAGCTTAACGCAAGGCAACTATTGATCTGGTACAGATGAAAAAAGGGTGACCAGGTCCAATTTCTATAGGAAAACCGACTGTGATGAGTCCATGTATAAAAACCAGGGACACTGTCATTTATGGGTGGTCTTAGGGATTTTCCGAGGGTAATTTTGACTCTGCTTGATTTTTCCTTTAAGGGACACTCTGGACTTTGGAACCTAATCCCAGCACAGGTTCATGACTCCACAGCACTCAGTACTCAAGTGTTGAAGGACCTGTTCCAATGAACAGATAAGAATGTTCTGTATGTTATACTCTGCTTTTTTACATTTTGATTTTTAAACAAAGAGAGGCTGCTTTGGCATTTGGGATTGATTAAAGCGGTCTGTTTTCCTTGCTATTTGAATCACCAAATTACATCATACTAATATGAAATCTGAACTCCGTTTAAAGGGAAAGCTCATTAGATAAAGATAACCATAGCCTGGCCCTGGGGAAACTACTGAAATTAATGAGTGTTTATAGTTCTTGCCCTCTCATTCTCATACATCTTAGATGCAATCTCAAGGGGCTACTGCTGAAAGCATCCTGCTGCAAGTTACACAAAATCAGCCTAGCTTCAAGCAGAAAATGCCAAAGACAAGGCTGGGGAGCAAATTCTACATAAGAGCATCAGATGCTAATTAAACGCCAGGGAATAGGGAACAAGGGACACTTCAGTCACACTGTGGATGCTGCCACTGAGATGCAGGGTACGTGACTGTTTGGAGAAAAGGCTCCAATATCCCAAGCCATTGTCTTTACATGTAAAAGCTTTGAGGCACACCCTCTTCCACACTAGCTGATGTAGGAGTTAGAGGTAGTAAATGTGTGCATACAAAAATTGAATGTGTTTTATAAAGCCCATGTAGAAAGCATGCTTAAAAATGGAATTTGGCTGTATGCCTGACAGTTGCATTGTGGGAGGAAATTAAACGAAAAGACTAGAAAACAGTGTGCAGGCTCTTCCCTATGGAAGAAGGGGCCTGGGCACTGTACAATCTCACATCTGTTGAAAGTGCCATGTGCACTTCCAAGTGCTCTGACAAAGAAGGCTGCACTGAGTCATGCCAGTACACGCCCCATGGGACGTTAACTCCCCATCCTAATTCACAAACACAGGGCCCTGTGGGCCTGAGATTTCAGTCCAGCCTGAAAAGGCTGGTGAGCAGAGCCCTAATATTGCCCATGCAAGGCAGAAAAGCACTTTCTTACATCACATGACAAAAAATGAAACAAAAATAAAAACAGAACCTTGAAACGATATGTTGGTTCATTAGGCTGCTTTTTCAATACCCATTCCCCCAAAATCCTGCCTCTAAGGTACAGGTGTAGTGTCTCTGCTAGTAGCAAAGACATTTTCAAGAGTCAAAACATGAAATACAAAAGTTGATTTACAACACACTAAAAATGCTTTCCCTCCCCAAACTAAGTCTTTTTTTTCCCTTTTCCTCCTAGCCCTTTTGCTTGGAACTAGCTGGCAGAGATCTTCCTGGCAAGTTATTCCTCCATCTGGGCCCAGGCCTCCTCTGCCTTCTGGTAGTATTGGTTGGCCAGCCGGCCCTTCATGGCTTCCATGGCTGCCTCGGCTGCCTGGGTGTACAAGTCCCCTGAAAGAGAGCAAAGTGGGGCATAAGGAGGTGAACCACCTATTGTTTTTGCCAGCCCAGTGTCCCCCACCATCTGGAAGAGCACCCTGAGGTTTCTCCCTCCAGGTGATCTGGGTGGGGCTGTAAGGGTACACGTGTGATCAAGCCTGGCCAATCAGAATACTCTCCATTCTCCACCAAATCACAGGGATTGGTCCAGACTTAGGCATGGCCAATCAGAGTGAGCCATCTTCATGACCACAGTGATTGGTTTAGGGATGGGTGGGTGATTCCATTTGAGCCAAGGAGAACCAGATTGAGGGCTTTTGCAGGAGTGACTGGGGATGTTTGAAAGTGGAAGAAATAGACTATAAACAGCCTCATGTAAGTTCAGGACAGGTTCTGCCACCAAATGAATATGTGCAAAACTTACAAAAACACCTTTAGTTTTCAGAGCTTTTTGAATTTAGAAATTTCAAATAAGGGATAATAGATTGGCAGTATCATTCTATTTGCTTAACTTTTACTACAACTTTTTAAAATCTTTTTAAACTTAGCCTCATCCTATAGCTGTGAAATCAGAAGTTTAGTAGGTTTACTATCTGTTATGGACTGAATGTTTTGTGTCTCCCCAAAATTGTTGAAGCTTAACAATGTGACTGTATTTGGCAACAGGGCCTATGAAGAATTGATAAAGGTTAAATGAGGTCATAAGGGTGGGCCCTAATCATATAAGGCTGGTGCCCTCAAAGGAAGAGGAAGGGACACCAGAGCTCTCTCTTGGCATGTACACAGAAGAAAGGACATGTGACAGCACAGCAAGAGGGTGGCTTCTACAAGGCAGAAAATAAACTGGCTGGCACCTTGATCTTGGACACTCTAGCCTCCAGAACTGTGAGAAATACATTCCTATTATTTAAGCCACCCAGTCTATAGTATCTTGTCATTGCAGCCCAAGCAGACTAATGTATTATATAACAGAAAAAAATATATAACTTGTCCATCAACTGATGAATAGATAAACAAAATGTGGTATATCCATACAATGGAATATTATTTGGCCATAAAAAGGAACACTACATGGATGAACCTTGAAAACATTATGCTAAGTGAAAGAAGCCAGACACAAAAGGGTATGATCCCACTTATGTGAAATGTCCAGAACAGGCAAATCCATACAGAGGGAGAGCAGATTAGTGGTTGCCAGGAATGGAGGTAGGGGGAGTTGGGAGTGACTGCTAACTGCTCAGGGTCTCTTTTGAGGATGAAGGAAATGTTCTTGAATTATATAGTGGTGATGGTTGCACAACACTGTGAATATACTAAAAACCACTGAACTGTACACTTTAAGATGGTGAATTTCATATACAAAAATTTCAGTGCAATTTTTAAAATTGCAAAAAACCCCCGCTATCTATATAACCATTATCATATAACCCTTAAAATAAAAACGTTCATCTGCATACCAGCTCCATAAAGTCCCTTCCTTGGGGAAGAGATACAGCCTGGCATCTTGTCATAACTCCCGGTGGAATAGGAATTAGGTCCCTCCACGCTTGGCCCTGTCCCAAGCCAGGGGCAGGTCTCCCAGGCCCTACCTGATCTCTGTGGGTCCTTTTCCAGCCCAAGGCCGCCTGTGAACAGCATCTCAGCCTCCCTGGCCAGCAGCGTGTACCGGGGCTCGTCCTGCATCCCATCATACTCGCCACCCTCATCGCAGTCCGTGGTCTGCAGGGCAGTGTTGTACCAGTGCAGGGCCTCAGGCCAGTCTCGGCACCTTGCCAGGAGATACAGAGGGAAAGAAGGAGGTTACCGTGGCAACAGGGCAAGAGGGAGGGAGGAGAGCCATGTGGCAGCGAGGGCTAGTCAGGGATCCCAGCAGGGCCACCACCCATGGTTCTCAACCCATAGTACCCAAAGCCACCACATCTAAGGGGCACCTTCATACTGTAGATTTATATATTTATTAAGACAGCAATTAGGTAGCTTTCCTTACCAAAATGGGCATTACAACAATTGGGCAGCTCTAGCTCTCCTCCGGCACAGGGCTGAGCTTTCCCCTGAAGGGCTGACTTCCCTCTTCCAGCCCTGGCCCTCGAACCCTGACTCTTTCTCCTCCTGCAGCACACGTATGGCCAAACTCACACCACATGAAGTACGCAGCCAACACAGCAGTGGGCTCTTTCTCTTTGGGTGTAACCCATGTGAGTAACTATTTATAGTGAACCACGAAACAGCAAAAGAGAGAGACACACAGACAAGGTCTACGGGTCTCATGAAACTTCAACAGCGCTGAAGACCGGCCATCCCCTTCTTGTGGCCACTGCCTCCTGAGGTCCTGTCTGACCATGGCACTGCCCTTCAGGCTCGCCGGCTGCTTTCTATCCCCACACGTGCCAGCTCCTGCCCACTCCTTGGAACATTCCATGTTCCACCTGCCATGATCTCACCTTGGAACATTCTTCCCCAACTCTTTCCACACCTGGCTTCTTGCTAGGGTTTGAATGTTTGTCCCCTGCAAAACTCATGCTGAAATTTGATTGCCATTGTGACAGTATGAGGACGTGGGACCTTTGAGAAGTGATTGAGCCGAGAGGGCTCTACCCTCGTGAATGGACTAATGCCATTATCATGAGACTAAGTCAGCTAGAAAGGAGCAAATTCGGCCTCCTTCCGCCACGGGATGACTCAGAAGCCCCTCGTCAGCTGCCGACACCTTGATATTGGACTTTCCAGCCTCAGAACTATAAACCAATAAATTTCTGTTCATTATCAATTACCCAGTATTGTTATAGCAGCACAAAATGGACTAAGACACTCCTCATCCCTCCAGTCTCAGCTCTTACATTGCCTCTTTAGAGACACTGTCCCAAACACCCTGCATCTCACAACAATTATCGCAATCTTCAATCCCATGTCCACTTGTTCATTATGTTCTCCCCCGACTAGAACATAAGCCCCAAGAAGGCAGGGGCCTTGTCTGCTTTGTTTACTGCCATATTCCAGGGACTGGCAAACAGTGCCGGCTCAATAAATGTCTGTTAAATAAATAGATGAAAACAGGGACAGGCTGGGATGGTGTTCAGGAGATAACCTTGACTCCATTTTATCTTATGAAAAAAAAATCATCTGAAAATTAGTGGCGACATACCCAACAAACTTGGGTTATAGCACTGACTGGAAGCCATTAGACCAGATGACTTCCCCTTTCAGCTCTGGCCTTCCCTGGTCCTAAAGGGCAAAGCAGAATTATCCCCAAAAAACATTACATGAGAAAGAGGGGAGAGTGCCTATCTCTCCCTGCCCACCCTCACCTGATGCTACCCCAGTGGTTAGGGAGCCCACCCCTACCTTGGAATTTTTCATGACTTTTCCTTCCCCTATTAGATAGTAACTTTTGAGAAGGGCCAAAACCCCTTAATTACAAATTTGGACCTACATATGACCCTGCGTTACCCATAACTGGTCCTTAATTAACAATCCCTGAATGGAAGAGGCTGGAGCTACTTGGAATGAGGAAGAAAAATAAGAAAATGACTATAGGAGAAGCTAAAAAGAAAATTTTGGTGGATTTAACTACACAAATATTAAAACCTGGTGTGTCCCCAAACCCAATAAATGGTCATTATGTGACATGTGTGCCACCCCTTCCCCATTTATGGTAGCCATCTCTGAAAAAAAACCTTCTTTTAAAGAGAATCATATGCCAAAGGGTTAATAGCTTTAATATGTAAAGAGTTCTAACAAATCAACAGAAAAACCCCATCACCTCAAATAAAAATAATATGTAGACAAAAGACAGGAAGAGAAAGCACATATAGCAAAGCCTTTTTAAGGACCTTGGATTCAGATACTTGGTGCCCAGCTCCAACCCTCCATGCTGTGCTGCCCTGCTGCACTCAGGGGGCACCACCCAGGCTAATGTTTGATTTGATACACACGTGTTGGGGTTTTTTATTCCCCTGCTCTCCATGCCAGTAGACAGTACACTGGACGAGGGGTCAGGAGATCTAAGTTTTGGCTCTGCCACTTATGGGGTATTTGACCATGGGCAAGTCCCTTCACTTCTTGGAACTATAATTTAGCCATCCATAAAACAGGGTCAAAATACCTGCCTGGTCTGCATTAAAGAAATATGTTGGTTCATTCATTCAAACTACTGAGCCAAGCCCTGTGCTAAACATGGGAACTTCAGAGATGTAGGAGACCTGATGCCTGTCCTCAATGAAATAAAACCGCACTATGAAAGTGCTCTCAAAATATAAGGGAGCACAACTGTTACACAGTAGGTGTCTGATAAATGTTGGGACTGTATATGATATGGAATACGGGCGGGATGTCACATGCCTGGGAGTTTGTGACTCTGAGATCTGATATGATAGAGCCAGGGTCCTGACTTCTCTTCTAAATCCAGTGAGGCAGATGAGACCTTGATACCAAAGAGGACAGACCACCACACTGCTGCAGCCCTGGAAGCTCAGATGATGAATGTGCCCTTCCTGCTCCCTTCCCGAAAGCCACGGGAGGCTCCTGAGGACAGTGGAGGGTAGCCACGTTCCAATGGGAGCCACAGAGGGTGAGCAAAGGTTCCACTGTAAGTTCAATTGCTCCAACCAACCTCTCGCCCCTGGGCTTCGGGGACCTCCCACTGGCCAAGCCCAAGAGCAGAGATGGAGCCGAGCTGCCCTCCCCTCCTGCCACCACAGAAGCAGTCCTGACGTCTCAGCCAGAGGGTAAATGAAGGGTAAATGAACAGCGACGACACCTGCAGAGCCACCTTCAGGAGTCTCAAAGCCACTCGAGAAAATACCCTGGAGGTTGCCCCCACCCTCCCCTCCCTCTCAAAGTGAAAAATAATACAAATAAAAACAAAAGTAGGAAAAAAAAAACATTAAAATCGCCCATAATCCCAACATCCAGGGACAACCACTCTGAGCCTGATCCTGCGGAGCCTTTCAGATGTTTTCCTTGGGCAAACCTTCACACGTACTGGTTAACATTTATCGTACCTGTTACGTGTCAGGCACTATTTCAGGCATCATCCCACTTACCCCTCACACAACCACCTGAGGATGCAGATGCTATAATGATTCCATTTACAAAATGAAGAAACTGAGGCCAGGGAAGTAAAATCACTTGCCCGCAGTCACTGGACTGGTATCGGGGGAGCCAAGACTTGAACCAAGGGCTGTCCTGACACTGAAGGGAAAGCACCACCCGCAGCCCAGGTTCCCGCGGGTCCACCTGAGAAGCAGCCACCGTACCTGTCTGGGCTGAGGTTCTGGCCGGTGTCAAAAGCTCGTGCCACTAGGATCATGGACTGTCTGTCGCCTGCTTCAGCTGCCTTCAGTAAGTAATCGAATCCTTTTACTTTATTTTCTTCCATCTCCTGTCAATACAAACCAGAGGGGGAAAGAAAAGCCGTTGAGGCAGGCACAAGAGAGGGCTGCCAAGATCCCAGTAATCAACCTTCTCCCTGTTTTTCCCGTTATTTTGAGAGCTCTGGGCTGGGGCTGCTGTAGAATTCACATCAGTGGTTTTTAGTATTTTCACAGAATTATGCAACCAGGACCACAGTCAATTTCAGAACACTTTCACTGACCCCAAAAGAAACCCCATATCCTTTAACTGTCAATCTCCTCATCCTGCCCAGCCCTCTATGGATTTGCCTATTCTGGACATTTTATATAAGTGGAATCACACAATATGTGGTCCTTTGTGACTGGCTTCTTTCACTTAGCATGATGTCTTCGAGACTCATCCATGTTGTAGCATGTATCAGTACCTCGTTCCTTTTTATGATTAAATAATATTCCACTATAGGAATATATCATATTTTGTTTAGCAATTCCCCCATTCATGGGCATTTGGCTTGTTTCCACTTTTTGGCTATTATGAATAATGCTGCTCTGAACATTCCAGTGCAAGTTTTTTTTTTTTTTGTCTTTTTTCGTGTCTGGCAACGGATCACAACCCTCAGTGTCGCGCCTGCACCGGACCGGGACTGGCAACGGGATCGCAACCCTCGGTGTTGCATCCACACCTCGCTCAGCCAGCGAGCGGGAACCAGTCCGCATGTGGGATCCGAACCCTCGGCGGGAGCGCCACCGCACTCCCAAGTGGCGCACTATAGCAGTGCGCCACCGGGCCGGCCCTCCAGTGCAAGTTTTTGTGTGGATGTATGTTTTTAATCTCTTGGGTATATACCTGTGAGTGGAATTGATGGATCCAATGCAACTCTGTTTAGCCTTTTGAGTTGCTGCCCAGCTGTCTCCCACAGGAGCTGCCCCACTGTACACCCCCAACAGCAGTGGAGGAGGGCTCCTGCTTCCACTGTTCCCCCACGATCCACCCCACAGCAGCCAGAGAGATGCTTTCAAAACCCACGCCTGGTCACATTTCTCTCTCAAAGCTGCTCCATGGCTTCCTATCTCATTCAGAGGCAAATGCAAAGCTCTCATATCAGCCTACAATGCCCTTCCCAACCTGCAAGCTTCAAGAAGTGTGGCAAAGACTGCCAGTTGTCCCCACATCCATTCTCCCTTGCCATGTTTTTGCTGGACACGTGGCTGACCAGCTAAAGACTACATTTCCCAGCCTCCCTTGTGCCGGAAGCTGTGTCCTGATACATGAGGACGATCCAGTCACTCTGGATCACATTCCCTGCCATATTTTCTCCCTAGCACTTTAGAAGAATGCCTGGCACAGAAAGTGCTCAATAAAGGTTCATTATTTTTAACTTTATTGGAAATATTTTTATTTGTTAATTGGTACACATATTACATCCTTTCCTATCTGAAAAGTTTGCTCCATGAGAGTAGGGATCTTGTGCATCTTATTCACGGTTGTGAATAAGAATCTAGGACAGGGCCCAGGGTGCAGGAGGTGCTCAAAAGGCATGTGCTCGATTGATGAATGTCTTAGCAGGACAATAGAGAGAGGACTGCGGAAAGCAGGAGGGGGCTTCCTAGCACACAGCGGCCTCTCAGGGCACATGGTCACCATTTTCCTTGCTAAGCCACAAGCCTGGCTTGAACACAGCTCACTTCCTGCCTGCCTGCCCTGCCTAACCACACCGCTCTAGGCAATCACACCCCTGCTAGGGGAAGCTGCCAGTCTGTCCCCTAGAGAAAGGCCCTTGGGATACCTACAAGTAAGGAAACTAAATTTTACAAAGTTACTAGGGTGCAGTTGGTGTAAACAGCCTGTGATGACAGGAGTGACTTGTACAGCCTCACAAACACAGACTTTATTTCAGGAATCTGGCAGGCCAGTTGTAAAACAGTCATTATTGAACATTAAATCAGAAATAAATTTACACTGAGACGCATTATATTGAAAATAGCAGTAGAGCTGGCCGGTTAGCTCACTTGGGAGAGCGTGGTGCTGATAACACCAAGGTCAAGGGTTCAGATCCCTGTACCAGCCAGCCGCCAAAAATAATAATAATAAATAACTAGAGGTAATAAATACTCAAAACTCTTCCTTAATTATTTTTACTACATTTTACTATTATTTACGCTCTTGAGGTTATTTATATCTATTGCAGGGTTTCTCAACCTCAACACTATGGATTTTTTGGGCCAGATAAGTTTTTTGTTGTGGGGGGCTGTCCTGTGATTTGTATGATGTTTAGTAGCATCTCTGCCCTCTACCCATCAGACGTCAGTAGTACCTCACTAACTGTGACAATCCAAATTGTCTGCCAACATTGCTAATGTCCCCTGGGGAAGGAGGAAGCAAAAGCCCTGGTTGAGAACCACTGGCCCACTGCACCCTCATGGTAGAAATGCCACATGATGGTGAACTCCTGCACATCCTTTCCAGCTCCGTGTTCAGTGATGTCATACGAGTCACTTGAAACTGGCCATGGTAGGAGCACTTACCCCACAGAAAGACAATGCTACAAACCCAGGTTTGATTTATTGCTTTTTTGATGGTCTCAACTTAAGAAATGGATGGAAGAAAGAACGTTTCAGTTCTAAAACAGGTCTTCGTTATTTCACTTTCATCTTACTTATTAGAATAAATGAAAATATCAACCAATATTTATGTCAGAACTGCACTCCTCCATTGGTTGCAAACACTGGTTGGCTATGGATACAAGAGTTCACAAAAATCTGCACATATGTATAAAACATCAAATTGTACCCTGCAAACATGTACATTTACAATGTGGCAATTAAGTAAATTTTTAAAAATCAACAAAATATTCTGTGAGAATCAAGTGACTGTATGGAATTTATAATAAAGAGTCCTTTTTTTTTTCCTTTTTTGTCTTTTTTCGTGACTGGCAACAGATCGGGATTGCAACCCTCGGTGTTGCTCCCGCACCTCACTCAGCCAGTGAGCGGCCGGTCTGTATGTGGGATCCGAACCCTCGGCGGGAGCGCTGCTGCACTCCCAAGCGGCGCACTGTAGCAGCCGGCTGGCCCCTAATAAAGAGTCCTTTTATCATTACTTGTAAACTGTATGCTACATATTCTTTAGATCAGCAAAATATATAATATCCTTACACACATATAGGTGTATACATTCCCTCCCCACCCCCAAGAGCCTACTGTTAAGTCTACCAGCACCCCACTGGCTGAATGAGATACATTCAGTCCTGCCCTCAAGGAGCTTAGAGATGGGAGAGAGAGAGAGAGAGAGACAAGTGAAAAATCCCCTCTTCCAACCAAGCCTGCTCCTCACCACCTAAAACAGGAAATAACAGCTGTGGTTTATCTCCTGCCCACATGCCTGATCAGATCCCATTCACTCTACCCTTTCTGCCCTGTGCCCATGGACCAGGGAACGCAGGACTAGATGCCTACACAACTTCCCAACACACCAATGTCTGACTGCTTCAGATCCAGCCCCAGCCCACTCTTCAGACGCAACTCGTGCCCCGTCTCAGGCCACATGCTCCAGATTTATGGATCCACATCCTGGCCTCTGACCTGCCATCCTGTCTCTGGCCTCTGGGCCAATGCACACACTGTTCCCTTTGTCTGAACCACTCACCTCCCACGCTCTGCCTGGCTCGCTCCTATTCGGCCTTTAGGTCTAACTCAGATCTCCCTTTATCCCTTCATTCCACGAATGAACACTGAGCTGCTCCTGGGTGCTAGGCTTTCCTCCAGCTACCAGGGGTACAGCCAGAACTGACCATCAGGAAGTCTGCAGGGCTGGTCCCTCAGGCCCCCAGGCACGACCCTTCCCCATCTGTTTCCACCAGTGTCTTCTGCTTCTCCCATCACACCATGTCATTATTGCCTGGAAATGTCACTGTCACTTGCCACTCACTGCCCAAAGACAGAGAACAATTCTACCAGTTTCAACTAACTTTGAAGTGCTTGCCCCCAAACCAATTACCAGGACATTTTGATGGCATGCATGACACTCCAGGATGGGAGGCAGGTGAATGACGGGTTGGCCAGGCTCCCCCCAACCCTCACCTTGAGAGAGACGTCGGCCAGGATGTGGTGTGGGAGCTGCAAGTACATGAGCCCCAGGCCCACAATGGCCTCCAGCTCGCCCAGGTCGGCCGCATGCTCCAGGTGGAAGACTGCCGACTCGCGGTCCCACTCCTCATCCTTCTCGCAGAAGCGTCCGCCCTCATGGTAGCGCACCATGGCCAGATGGACCTGCCACACAGACTACAGTTTTGGTCCGGCTGTCTGGAAGGCCGAAGCCTCACCCAGGGCCTCCCAGCCAGCCTGCAGGAGGAAGCGATTAGCGGAGGAGAGGTGTGAGCTGGGGGCTCTGGGTTAGTGTGAAGAGGACTCCGAAATGGGCATCACCGATACCTTCCCCAAAATGGACTTCCCAATTTTCTTTTCAAGGTCCAGAGCATTAAGCCTTTGCACTTCCTGGGCCACGGCCGAAGGCCTCGGCAGGTGGAGGCGGGAGGAGTTGAGGAGATTCCACTTCTCCACACAGACCTGAAGGGAGAGAACGAGCAGGGTGCAGTGCTGGGGACACGCGCTGTGACAGCTGGCAGCAGCCCCCGACATAGGAACCTGACTGGCAAGACAGGGAGCAGACCCTTAAGGGATCACATTTTTCTCAGACAAACACAGCTCTTATTATTATTATTATTATTTTTTTGCAGTTAGCTGGTAACAAGGATTGAAGCCTGGGCCTTGGTGTTATCACCCCCATGCTCTAACCAAGTGAGCAACTGGCCAGGCCACCTCCATCATTCCAACTGCACCAGCTCGTGGGTGCTGAGAGCGCAGCATCAGGACACAAGGGCAGGCAGAGCAGACTGCAGTGGCTTGCTTGAAGAAGCATCCTCCCCCACCATTTATCAATGGGTTTGGTTGGGGGGGGGGGTTCAGCCCTACGCCACCTCCTTTGCCAGCTCCCCACACAAGGTACCAGAAGAGTCTGACTTCAGACCTTCCAGCAAATCCATGTGGCTTTCCTTTGTGAGTCACAACACCGTGGGCTACATCAGCAGGGTGCTTCAAGGAACAAGTTTAGAGAACACATCATCTCTGCCCTGTGAGGCAGTTGTGTGCATGGAAAACATCCTCCAAGGCACAGGGCAGCCCCCACAACAGAGAATGATCCAGCCCAGAATGCCAGTAGTGCCATGGTTGAGCAACCCTGCTCCACCTGAGCTGAGCCACGGACCTGACCAAGACACACTCTGTGGTAAATAACCAGTGCTCTGGGGCAGCAAGAGGCAGGTATGGGGTGGGCAGGGAAAGCCCCTGGAGGAAGTCACTGAGGTCCAGGCTTGGAGAGTAGGTAGGATTCGAGGTGGAATGACCAGAAGGGGAGGAAGGACCTTGCAGGTGGGACAGAGACTCACAGTGGAAAATCTTGAAGGTGCGAGGTTCAAAGTATGTTTGGAAGGCCGCTAGAGAGGGGCGTGTGGGGAGTGGGGCTGGCCTGATGATAACCATCATCTGAGATGCTTGCAGGCATACCAGCCGTGACCTGGGGAAAGTTACATAAGACCCCAATTTTCTCATCTCTATAATGAGGATGCATACCAGCCTATCTCGGCTGGCCGGTTGCTCAGCTGGTTAGAGTGCGGCATTGATGACACCAGGGTCATGGGCTCAGATCCCTATGCCGGCCAGCCACCGAGAGAGAGAGAGAGAGAGAAAGAGAGAGAGAGAAGCCTATTTCATGGGGTGGTGGCAAGAAGTAAATTGATTGATGCTGTGAGGCACCTCCACGGCAAGCACTTTAACATGTGAGCTGGAGCTACCATTGTGATTTCCCTCTGGGATGGGGGTGTCCTACTCTACTCTAATCCTCTCCTGCATCCCACCAGGGCAGAGGCTCCAAAAGTATCTGCCAAGGGGCTTTGCTCCTTTGCAAAATCTTCCTTTAGGAGATGTGTGAGGCAGATGGGCAGGTGGCGGTGACACGAGGGAGGAGAAACAGCTTCAGAGCCGGGAAAGGCCAGCAAGCTGCAGACAGGGCCCCTTGGGCGCATTACCCGTCCGGAGCTGCCCAGGCTGTCTTCATCAGACTCATACCTCCGGTTACTGTTTGAGTGGACCTGAATGGAGGCAGAGATTAGAGTGATCCAGAGAGCAGGTCTCTCTCCCAAGAACCTCCTCCTGAGAACCAGCCTGGCCCTCCCAAGTTCCCTCCTCCCAAGAACCAGCCTCGCCCTCCCAGGGAAGCTGGAACCCTTGTCTGCCCAGCAGAGAGGATGCCGGGTCACAGGTAGGAATGAGGTGCTGCTGCAGCCGGAGCCTTCCTGTCCCTTTCCCCGTGTAAACAGGTGGAACTGACTCAAAGGCACAGGATCCCGGCAGACCCTTCTGGGAAGGGCCGTGAAGCCACAGGAGAAACTGGGCCAAGTCTTTCCTCTAGTCAAAGCTTATCTTGCCTGATTTTATTCACAATCATAAGGATGAGAACCAGAGGTCTCCCAGCAAGACTGGCCTTGATACACAGGCTTAACGTTGGCACATGGTAAAACCTCTAAATGGCCGAAGACACCGATCTCTGGGGCCCTTGCCAGGGACTGCTGGGGTCCTGTGCCTCTGAGCTGGGCCTTCCCACCTACACCAGCTCCGGCCAGCCTGCTGGCCAGCATCCTCTCCGCTCTGCAAGCAGAGGCCCCAGCTTCACCGGAAGACCTGCCCGCCACTTTCAGCCTTGCATCTCGGCCTCCCGCTTGTCTCTCACTGGACCACCGCACCCTGCTTCATTTTCTTCCCTGCATTCACCTTTATCTGAAACAATCTCACTTATTCATGCACTCGGCATGCTCTCGGGACCCGCTCACACTCCCCCGCTAGCTTTTCATCCTCCTGGAGGATAAATGAGGCAACAGGGGACTCCGGTCTCATTTCCTGGGGGTTCCTTACGTGCTCTCGGGGCTCAGGGTCATCCAGCTCACCCCGCTTCTCACTGGGGTAGCCGCTGTCCCCACTGTTCTCCGAGTCCTGTGGAGAGAAGCTAGCCTCAGGGTCCAAGTGGTCCTCGGATTACTGGTGATGGTGGTGCCACTTGGATATCCCTATCATTGTCTCATCATCTCACTTAACATCCTCTCCCTCCTGCCCCTTGTCGGTTCGGTAACAAAGAGCAGTTTAAAGTAGTGGTAAAGAGCGTGGGCTCTGAGCCAGACTGCCTGGGCTTGGGTCCTGGCTTTGTCACTCGCAGCTGTGACCTTGGTTAACCTCTTGAGCCTCAGTTTCCCCAGCTGTGGGGATTCATGAAAGCACCTCCATCAAAGGGCTATGAGGACGAAATAAGGTGTGATGCTCTGAGAATGTGGATCGCAGTAAGAGCTACTACTAAGAGTGGCTCACCCATTTCACAGGCGGAAAAACAAAGGCTGATTTAAGGGCTATGACCCATGGGCAAAAATATAGTACTGGGAACAACATTTACTACAACTAAGCCCTGGACCAGAACTGTACAGGTCAGATGGACATAGTTTTATTCTCCTAGATCTGAGTTCTGTTCTGAAAGGGAATCTGGTATAATTTAGAATCTCTCCCAACGTTGAGTTCTGGCCCTCTCTGCACATCACTTGCAGTAATCAAACACTTCTCTTTTCTTTCCTTCTTTATTCTATTATGAAGTATTTCATACAAACAAATAAGAACAGAGAATACTAAAATGAACTCCAGTGCACTTGCTACCCAACTTTGTCAACTCCTATCATTCCGCCTTAGTTACTGTAGATCTTTTATTTTTAAAGAGAATTTAAATATTATCATTAAAATGTAGATCTCCTGTGTGTGTGTGCCTCCCCATCCCATTCACTTTCCCCTCCAGATAAAACCACTTTCATGAGTTCATACTTCTCACTTATTGTTTTTCTTTAGATAGACCATTTTACATTACTTAAATATATGTTTAGAAGAAGCTTGGTATCACTACCTTAGAAGTAAAACCTGCATCGCTCTCACACACAGGTGGGAGACATTTAATCATATATGATGAAACCTCTGCCACCCCAAGGAGCTGTGTTATCTTTAAAAGGCCCCTGCCCTTGTCCCTACACAGCCCTGAAGGCTTTCCTACCACCCTCCCCACAAGGCCTGTGCTCTATGTGAGCTGAAAGGATGTTTTTATTTTTAGTATCTCAGCTTTTGAAACTGAGATATGATTTACATACAACAAAATTGTTCAGTCTGCTGAGTGAAAGGCACACTTTCTGCAGGCCAGGGGCCCCAGGCACCACAGTCCTTGGACCTCACCAACTATGCAGCCTTGGGAATCACTCCCAAGCGGTGTGACAGACAGCCTCATTCAAGTGCCAGCTCTGCGACCCCGGTGAGGCAGTCATCTTCTCCAAACCTCAGTTTCCTCATCTGAGAAACAGCATGAATACCTACCCCAAGGTGGGGAATAAAGCAGCAAAGGACAGCAGTACAGAGGGGGGAACCCCAGCTCCATCACTGGGTGGCCGTGAGCAAGTGTCTTAACTTTTCTGTTTCTCAGTTTCCTCATTTATCAATCAGAGATCATGAGAGAACTGCCCAAGCAGCTGCTATCACTGGGCGTAAGCAGCAGGAGACAGGGTCAGGGTGGGAGGGAGACATTCCTTTTCCTTTTGAACCATGAGAAAGTATTACCTCTTCCAAAACCCTAAGATGTATTCTAATCCTAGAATAAAACCTATTCCAAAAGGAATTTTAAAAATCGACCCCATAAGTTGTCATGAGGATTAAATGAGTATCTACAAAGCCCTTAGAAGCGCTGCCTGGGATAACGCAGCCATTGTGTCAGCTATGATTACTTTTTTCTTCCACTGAAGAACTCTGAAGAGCCACCAAGAGTGAACTAGAAACTTTGGGGCAATCTGAGAATGCAGCTTGAAGTGAGCTTGTGGTCTGTGCCAGTGTGACATTTCTGCTAAGTCTGCTTAAAAAATTCATATGATAGGGCAGGCCCAGTGGCGCACTGGAGAGTGTGCTGCTTGGGAGCGCGGCGGCGCTCCCGCCGAGGGTTCGGATCCCATGTGGAGACCGGTTCCCACTCACTGGCTGAGCGCGGTGCAGGCGCAACACTGAGGGTTGTGATCCCATTGCCGGTCAGTAAAAAAGACAAAAAGGAAAAAAAAAAAAATTCATATGATCCCTGTACCAGCCGGCTACCAAAAATAAATAAGTCATATGAATTTTTAATTTGATGCCATAATATATATGTGAATGCAAATGCCTTCAGTTTACCACTACTGAGTCACCCTGAAAGCTGCAGGAAACGTTTTGTCTATCCATCCTGAGAGTGTCACAACTCAGGGATACACATCTGAGACCCAGGATAGGGGCCCCACAGAAAACTATCCATACATATTCCAAACTCAAACCATCCACATATATGCCAAACCAAAACCAGGGCTGAGCATGGCATTTACTAGAAGGTCGAATTGTTGCTGGTTTGGAGTCCCTCTTCCCTAACCATCTTTGGGAACTGCAATGGATCCAGCTCTTCCAAAGGAAAGCTCTGCCTTGGGCAGGAGGCTGACATTCATCTGCATCCTCCCCACCTCCTGGCAGTGCCTGGAGCAGACCTGAGCTGGGCTGCCCACCTCTGAGTCTGAAGATTCACCCTCAGTTTGCAGTGGGAGTGAATCCACTCCTCCCACCCTTGCTGGGGACTGGAGCCTGCAGCCTCCCTCCCTCTCTCTCCACTCACCCGGTGGTTGTCCAGTTGGTCATGGTCTCTGGATGCCATGTTATCGAGATCACCGAACACCGGCCAATCTGGGCAGGAAGAAATGGAGATAATGCACTGGTTCCACCGGTGGAACATTCACAAGACCAACCTATGGCCTAGAGCAGACCTCCCCTGCCACCAAGGCTTTTTTTAATTTTTAAAGAAAGGCACAAAAGCAGGAGAATGTTGTCCGCCCCAGGAGGGCTACAGTTCCTCCTCAAGAACTCACTCTGAGTCTGCCACTTGCCCGCCATGTGGTTCTGAGCCAGCGCTTCACCTCCTGCCTCCTCAGGGTTGTCATGATGCAATTACGCTTGTAATGTGTTAATCAGAACAAAGTGCAGTCGTGAAGGAAGAGAAGACATTTGTACATTTGGGGCCTGATGAGTGTGCCTCGGATGGCTTCAAATCCAACTATCTCATGCTGGTTCCCTGTCTCTGTCTCCTGACCTGAGCTCTCTCAGAGCCAACTCTGTCTGGCCATCTGTTTTTATACAGTTCATAAGAATGGTTTTTACATTTTTAAATGGTCAGACACGCCCATTCATTTAAGTATTTTCTTTTTCTTTTTTTTTTTGTCTTTTTCCGTGTCCGGCAACGGATAGCAACCCTCAGTGTTGCCCCCGTACCGGACCGGGGACCGGCAACGGGATTGCAACCCTCGATGTTGCCCCCGCGCCTCGCTGTATGTGGGATCCGAACCCTCGGGCGGGAGCGCCGCTGCGCTTCCCAAGCGGCGCACTTATCCAGTGCGCCACCGGGCCGGCCCCTCATTTAAGTATTTTCTATGGCTGCTTTCCTGCTACAAATGCAGAGACCATCTGGCCTGCAAAGCTTAAAATATTTACTCTCTTGCCCTTAAGAGAAGTTTGTCGACCCCTTCTCCAGACTATCCCAAAGGCCTTCCTGTGGAGACACCTAAAAGGCTTCTTTCATGTTTTGACATTAAAATCTTTCTCTCCTGCCCTGAGCTGCTTCCCCACAGCCTTTCCCAGCTGAATAAATGGCTATACCATCCTTCTAGTTCTTCAGGCCAAAACTGTAGGATCAGCCTTGCCTCCCCTCTTTCCTGCAGACCCCACATGCGCATCAGCAAACTCTACTACTGCAACTTCAGAAATAAAGATTCTATTCTTCTCTTCTGACTTATTAACATGATGTTACGAGAGTTCCTAATGTGGAAAAACCCTAAGATTCCTGTGAAGACCCTACTGCATTATGACAGACTACTCTTCTAAGATACTACTAGTTTTTACTTGTTAATACTTTATTTAGAATTTTTGTGTTGTATATATATGAAGGTTTTTCAAAAAGTTCATGGAAAAATAGAATTAAAAGATAATAAAGCACCCTCATTTAAGTGAGGTTGGGATATAGTTTTCCTTTTTGGTGTTTTGTCAAATTTTGACATAAGGGTTTTGCTAGCTAGGTTCACAAAACACACTGAAAAATGTTACCTTGTTTTCTACAACAGGGGTTGCTTTTATAACATTTGGATGACCTGTGTCTTGAAAGTTCATTCAAAGACCTCACCCATAAAACCATCTGGGCCGTGAATCTTTTTGGCTAGCACGTCTGATTTTCTAACATAAACGAAAGACAGTTTAGCTCTGGTCTACCTGTTGCCCGTCCCCTCCAATCACAAAGACCAGGGACCAAAACATCACTCACGGAGGTGGTCCAGTTTCTGGCTGTGTGGTGTGGCCGAAGATGGGGAGGAAGGGAGAGAGTCGAAGGTAACGTCGCTCATGTTCTCATCTCCTGAGTTCTCTGAAAGGCGAAGGAGCAGGGGGGGCCGGCTCCCAGAGAAGGTCCTTACTCGGGGGCTCCCACACTTTTCCTCTGTCCCCCTCAAGATGGTCTTGGCTGATTGCTGGGACATTAACAGGTATACTCATGTCATTCAGGCACCCTCTGGGAAATGAAGGGTCTTCCTATAGTTCCCTCTAACCCTGAAGCCCTTTCAGCCATGGCTCCTATGCATGCCTGTTTAGAGGCTGATAGAAAATCTAAAAAAACATCAGTGAGGGATTAACCAACTGTAAGTTCTCAAAGAATGGGCAACTGGAACGGGGCTCAAAGGCCTGCCAGGGAGCGTCCACTCCCTAAAGCACAGACGACACTTTACAGCCCTGAGCTGGAGAATGTAGCCCACTATATGTCCAGAATCCCAAGCTGATCTTTGCCAGCATTCTCTTGTATCTGGTCTATGAAGCAGGGCTTGTGGGGGGATGGGAGGATGGGGTGGGGTGGGCTCCTCCAGGACACAGAGAGCTGCCCAGAGCCATGTCTAAGTCTAGTCCAGTCATTTGTCAATGCACTACACAAACACACACCACACACCTTCTCTCACTTTCTCTCCATGTCTATTCCCCTCACTCTGGTCAAAAGTGGGCCCAACTCAGGCAGACAACAGCTACTCTATTATGGGGACTCTCAGGAGGGCTTTGTACACTGAGTTGGGGGCACTGGGGCACAGAGGGGACGGACTCTTCCAGGCCTGACAGTCTTCAACAGCACATTGCCAGGCCTGGCTGTCATCACGCAGGGAAGCAGGGCTTGCTGTCATAGTGGAAGGGCCCGCCAGTCTGAGCAGGTTCACACAGGGCACCCACCAGCAGCTTGGTGTTCTGAGTCACTGCTTCCATCTCCCGTGGTGAGAGGTCGAAGGGGGCAAGGCCCATGCTCTTACAAATCCGGTTGCAGGCATGAGAGTAAAAGAAGAGAGCCATCCCCCGGACACCTGCGGACAGAGCAGGGGTGTCTGGTGTCTGGAGGGTTGCTTTGCTTTGTGACAGGGGCGGGGCAGCACCGCTGAGCTGGAGGGTCTCACACATCCCAGGCTCCCATCTCCAGGCCAATACACGGTCTCAGCCTATTTCCTTGGGTGTACAAAGAGCTCGGAGATTTTAGGGGGGAGTGTGGTCTCCGTGGAAACAGGCTGGCTTTTCCCACCTACCTAGGTTGCCGTCTCCAAAGTCAGTGCCCGTCTCGGTGTGGATCTGCGGGTCAGTGTACAGGTCCCCCACACCCTGGATGTCCACCACTATTAGCTGATGGCCAGAGCGCTCGAATGTGAAGTGGCTGAAGGCCTGTGGGTGATAGGAAGAAAAAGGTGGTTGCAATAAGCCAGGCCGTGGGCTGTGCAGACACTGGCCACACTGCTCTGCGGGGTGGCACTGCCCCCAGTCTGCCCATGCTGGGGGCTTTCTCTGCTAGGAGGAGTCATACAGAGGAAGAGACAAGGGAGGGAGGCCTATTCAATTCAGCAGGGACTTTGGGGATGGAGGACCTGTGGCCACCTAAGGTCTGCTGACAGAGGCTGGCAAGGGGTGACAGGTGTCCCATTACAGAATCTCCATCAGAATGCTCCATGGAGGTTGAGGGTCTTCTGGGGGTGTGAGGCCCCATACCCACAGGGACCTCCTCTCTAGGGGCTGAACCTGGTCAGGTTCCCACCCTGAAGGGCGGGAGTGGGTAGAGGGTGGAGGCATGGGCACAGCAAGCTCAAAGCCCCACCTGTGGTGTCAGGCGGATGTTGTCATCGCGAACGAAGCCTGAGTTGGAGTTGTACTTTATGTACTTGCCCTCGATGTAGTGCTCCAGGTGGAAGAGGGGCCTGCCCGGTCTCTCCCTCAGCTCGATGATGCACATCTGCATGATGTCCACCTGGCGGGAGGGCAAGCGGGTCAGGGGGAAGGCGAGTGGATGGGGGGAGGGCAGGGCCCAAGCAGCAGGGCTCACACGCCAGCTCCGTCACTTACAGCTGACTGCGGCAGGAACTGCTGCTTGTCCCCAGAACCTGTTCTCCCCTTTCCTTTTTAGAATGAAACCCCCATCCCTGGTGTGAACAGGACACACAGCCATCAGTGAGGGATGACGTTGCTCAGCTTCTCTTGCACCTAGGTGTGGTAACGTGACCACGGTTAACCAGCCAATGGGAAGTGACATGCGCAATGATGTAATTCTGCCTGCCCTGCAAGGTACATCCCACCTGGGAGCTGGAACTGACCACAGGCCCGCAGCACCCACCCCCCGAGGGAGGGCAGGGCAACAGACAGAAGGAACCATGTCTCCAGATGACTTCATGCAGGTGAGCCACCAGCCCACCCCAAGTCATCCGCCAATGTGGGATGTCATGTGAATGAGAAAGAAACCATTTCATGTCAGCGTGTATTTGTGGGTCTGTTTGCTGAGCAACTTAGCCTGTGTCTTGCACTAACACTGTGAATGTGGGCAAGTTACTTCACCTCTCTGTGTCTCAGTCTCCTCCTCTATGGAATGAGGACCTCAGACTTAGCACACAGATTCAATCCACTGATGCACGAAGGAATCAGTCGATATTTGCTCATGTCATTCTTATCAGTCAACACAATTCTAGAGTGATATATACTACCCTGTAAACAGCAGCTCTTTCCCTGCAATGGGAAATTGTGGGGAACTCTGACATTCTTTGCTGAATTTTTTTCTTTTACAAAGTATGTGTTTATTTTGTACACAGAAAAAAATGTCTGAATAGTGTGTACGGTTTATAAAGGGGGGCAGGAAAGACCTGTGACTTGAACTTGGATCTCCTGCCCTGTTACACAAGGACTCGCCCGTGACACCTGTCCCCCTCAACACCACCCACATGAGGGAGGAGCCAGGTCTGGGTTTCCCAAGGAAATGACGATCCAGGGAGGGTGAATCACCAGACAGGCAGATAACAGCTGCAGAGGCCAAAGGGGCCCAGAGCTGAGAGCTGAGAACTTTCCCCAAACAGGCCTCAGTTCTGAGATCCAGCCTGATGGAAAGAAAAGGAGGGGTGGTTCTCAGAGGGCTCCAGCCGCAAATGCTGGCTCCATCCCTACGTGGAAGACTGCAGCAGGGACACCTGCTTGGCCAGAGGGCTCACTGAGCACCCGCTATTTGCAGGGCCCTGGATTAAGCACTTGGGGTGGACACAACCATGAGTGGATAAACAATACCTCCTCGAACAAGCACGTTATCATTTGCTGGACACCTACGTGCTAGGATACAGCAGTGAACAAGATAGAAGAAATCCCTGCCCTCCGGGGAGACAAGCAACTAAAATATTAACTAAATGAACAATGCTCTTTCAGACAGCACTAATTGCTCCGAAGAAAACAGAACAAACCAGAATGATGTGGCAGAGGCGACTGGGGTGGAGGGGTGGTCCGAGAGAACCAAGCCAAGACCTGAACCATAAGTAGCAGCTGGCCTCACATGCATCATGGACACAAGCAGTGCAGGCTGGGGGCACAGCCTGAGCCAAGGTCCTGAGGCAGGAAGAAGCTTAGAGAGGAGGAGAGAGGAGGCCAGGCAGGAGCATAGCCAATTACTGAAAAGTCACACCCCCAAGGGTGTGAATTGTAGCTTCCTCTGTCCACCCCAAGTGTGCTTAATCAGGGGTCCTGCAAACAGCAGGTGCTCAGTAAATTCTGCTGGTTGCCTGGAAGTGCGGCTGTCCTGAGGCACCCAGGAGAAGTGCCTTGTATCTAGTAGGTGCACATACAACGGGAGAGCTGAGCTGTGAATTTAGGCAGGGCAGAGGCCTGGGGCAGCACTTCCTCAAATGGCTGTAGGCAACAGGAAATTCCCCCTGGCCTCAGTCACCAAATGCCCTCGGGGCTCAAGTAAAGAAGCCAATCTGGCAGCAGGTTGAAAGCTTAGATTTGAGCCCTGGCTTGCAGCCCTGCTGGTTGGGCAAATCCTTTAACCTCTTTGAGCCCTGGGTTCCCCAGGTAGCAGATATGGTATCCATCCCCCTCCTGCTTTTTCTTGGGAGCCACCCCTTCCCCAATCTCAGTCTGTGTGGTCTGGATGGGATGCCCTACATTCCTGGCTCTGAGGGTGGGCACATGGCTCAGGCCTGCCCAATCTGCATAATCCCACCCCTTGGCCATTGCAATTGGCTCAGCAATAAGCATTCACCTAATAAGACCCAATGAAACCCTGTTCTGAGACTTTCATTAGAACTTCTGGGAAAATAGGTGTCATCATTCCAACAAGGTTGCTGAGAAGGCAGAAAGCAAGACTGCAGCTGCCGGGGACTGACATGCCACAACAAGGGGTGAGGCTGCCTGAGCACAACACCAATGCAGAGGAACACCCAGGTCACAGAGGGACAAGATTCCTGACAACCTCAGTTAGGTCCTAGATCCAGCCATGCCTGTGTCTAACACTATTTTTCAGTTACATGAGGCAATGAATTCCCTTTTTGGAGTAAGCCAGTTTGAGTGGGTTTCTGTCATTTGCAAACAAAAATCCTGACTAACAGATCCCATCTGTAAATGGAGATAAAAACATTATAACCTCAGAGCTCTGTTTTTATGAATAAACGACTCTCAGCGAGTAGAGTACTTGGTCTGTCCTGCTCAGTGAATGTTGGTAGTTTTTGCTACTGTTGAGAAGGTAAAGAAGGGACTGTGTGACTGGCACTACCATCGCCCTCATCCCCAGACACTGAGCCCAGCTGCCCTGGCATGGGAAGGTGGCAGGTGGGGTGACACGCACCTGCTTGGGGGGCTTGTGCCGATTATACTCCTCCCCCCAGAGCTTGGCTTCCATCTGTAGACGCACGTCCTCAAAATACACATCCCTGTCCACAGGCTCAATGTAGCGTTTGGCCACGTAGTTGGAGGCCCCCTTCCACTGCTGGGCGTGCAGGAAGTTGGAGAGCTTCTTCCTGGGGGGAGAGGCAGCAGGGGACCTGCCTGGAGGGTTCACCAGGGACACGGCCCTGGGTCCTCAGGACAGCAGACCCTGCCTGACCTGGCTGACTGGCTAGAGGCAGGAGCAAAATGCAGGAGGTGGGAGAGGCTTCCCTGTCCCACTGCAGCTTTCAAGAGAAGGGAAGAGGAGTTAAGATCATTGCTGAAGGTCTCCTCTCCCATTTATCTTGGCCTCCAAACACCAGAGCAGAGATTAGCAGGATACTTCTGTTCTACAGGAGTCCATCCCCACAGCCAGGCCCAGTGTGTGGTCCAAGAGAGACCAGATAGAGAGGAGACTGGGCTACAGGAAGGCACAGGCCACTGTCTCCAATCTGTGGCCGAAAATGTCCCAATGCCCCAGCTTTCACGAGCCTTTGAGCATGGCCCCAAGTACCAGATGGAATCACTTACGTCCTGAAGCACTCCCTCATTGCTCCACGGCCAAAGGGCTGAAAGACAGCACACAGAGAGTTATTGGTCCCCACGCCCCACACGCAAGTCGAGAGATGTTCCCCTTGGACGTTACTGGCTGAATGGATGCCCTGGATCTCATCTCAACCCTAAAATCCCAGGGCCCCTCCTGCCACACCCCAGCAGCATAGCCTGCTGGGCCTCCCAGTCTGGAGGCTGCCAGGACGGTGAGGACCACCCCATTCCTCCACCCCAGCACAGAATGTTGGGAGGGACAGTGCATGTCAAAGGATGTTTTTGCAGCCCTGTCCATAACAGAAAAAAGTGGAAACAACCTAAATGTCCATTAACAATACACTGCATAAATCAGCCAGGTTTATTCATTATATGAAATACTATACAGTGATGAAAATAAACACAAGATGTTGAGCAAAAGCAGCTGCGCTCAAAAGAACAATTGCTGCGGGTATACGGCTCCATTTACACGACATACACAAATGGGCAAATTCGAGGGAGATGGACTTCAGAGTAGTGCCTACCCTTGGGTGGAGGAGAAGTGTCCAAGAGGGGCTTCTGAGGGGTCCTGGTTATGTCTGTTTCTCACTCTGGGTGCTGGGGACACAGGGTTCACTTTGTGAAAACTCATTCAGCTGTACACGTTTCTGCATGTATGGGACACTGAAAGAGTTTCACAAAACAACCCCTACCCTCAGTGTGCAGCAAGTACTCTATCCTCTAGTCTTTTTCTCTTTTGTTTCAAAAGGCTGGTTGCAATCCACTGAATTTATTTAATAACTCAGTCATAGGTGATAACCCGCAATTTTTTTAAAATGCTGTATACCAAGAAAGTGACCTGTAATTTTTAAAAACTGATATATACATTCACAAGTGCCAAGAACAGTCTTTTGATGTATGATATTTTAGTATATGAAATGTTCAGAACAGGCAAATTATAGAGACAGAAAGGAGAACAGGGGTTGTCAGGGGCTGGGGGCAGATGAGGGAATAGGGAGTGACTGCTCATGGGCACGGGGCTTCCTTCGGGGAGGGGGACAATGTTCTGGCATCAATTGCGATGACGGGTGTGTACAACTCTGTGAATATACCAAAAACCACTGAACTGTACAGCTGGAGTAGGCAAAGTGTACGGTATGTGAATTATATATCAATAAGGCTGTTGTAAAAAATACAATCAATAAACAATAACTTAAACAATCCCCAAAGTTAAAATAAATAAAGGTGTGTGGAGGGGAGGGCAAGTGGACTGGAGTCGGCTCAAGGAAGCCCCCACTCAGCCCCGTCCCCTCAGGCCCGCTCACCTGAGATGCCATCTTGATCAGTACTTCGTCTTCCAGCCACTCCCCGGTGACCGCATTGTACCTGCAGAGGCCAGAGCCCACCCCAGGGCACAGCGTCCATAACACGATTCTGTCCCTCACTGGCAAAAGACCCTCTGTTGCCTGCAGGACCCTGCCCGCTCGCTACCTCAGCCCACAGCCCAGCGACCTCCTGGTTGGGTTAAGGACACTCTCCTTCCCTCCCAGACCCCATCATACTGGCCTCCCTCCTGCTCCTCATACACAGTGTCCCCCTCCATTGCATCCCCAGCGCTCACGGCTGTGCTATTGCCTGCCTTGCTCCACTTCTGGCTCCCCCAGTGGACTGTAATTCCACAAAAGCAGACCCATATCTGTCTTGCCCATCACGGGGCCTGGGTGTGTGCCTGCTTCATAAATACAGTGTTGGATGAGTGACAGAGCACCTAAGTACCCTTATCATAGCTGGTCTGTGCAACAAATGGCACATCCCAGGGATGGAGGCAGCAGGGCTCTCAATCTTGCAAGACACCCAGGCGAGGCCCAGCACAGGTAGCAGGCACATCTCCAAAGAGGTAATGACTGTCCCCTGTAGGCTGGGGTGGGGGAGGGTCCTGCCTCTGAGTCTAGCCAGGAAAGAGGTTGCCAGGTACACACCCAAGGCAGAGAGAGATGGAGAGAGTTCCAGAACATTTCCATCTCTCCTCTCCCAGAGCAAATCTGCCCCTGAGCCTGGCTGGGCCTCAAACAGGTTTGCCAGGTGGAAAGCTCCTCAGCTCAGAAGATCCCTAAAGTCTAAAACCTCCTCAGGGCTGAGGTGTTCTTAGCCCTAGTCAGGAACCTCCCTTGGCCCAGCCCTCAGCTGGGGCAGAATCCAGAACATCCCTAGCCTCCGTGAGAACAGGTTTCTCAGAGGCTGAAACCTCCACAGGAAAAAGCAGAGGCCCGGCGGGTAACCTCCCCTAGGCTCAGAGGGACAAGGGCTCTCCAGAGCTGCAAACTTGCTCGCAGCCAGCCCTGGGCAAGTACATGCTCAATAAATCATAGCAATGATGATTATGATCATTACAGGGACCAAGGTAAAGGATATAACCCTCTCTCTCCTCCAGAAGAGATGGCAGAATGAGAGGCCCCCCAAAGTTGGAGCAGGGATAAGACTTGCAGCACGAGAGGCATCTTATTTGTCACTCATAACCACTCACATCACCAGGGTAAGAGCAGCTCAAGTTCACCGAGTGCTCAACATTGGCTGGTGCCTAAACGGGTCATTTCATTCAACCTTTGTGGCAGCCCTGCGAGACTGCTGCAATTACTGAGCCCATTTTCCAGGTGGGGAAACTGAGGCTCGGAGAAGTGAAGGAATCCTGCCTGCCAACCAGGATTCAAACACAGCTCGGTTTAAAACGAAACCTTGCTCTTAACCAGCCTGGGTTCAACCCACGTGAACAGGAAATCTGTCCCAATCAAGGGCCAGCTTGCGCCAGAGCTCTTAAAAAACCGTGGACGGAGGAAGAAGCCTCTAATTGAGACACCTTAGGAGATTCTAGCCTGAAATGCCCAGCATCCCACTGCTGGCAGCAAGGCAGGTAAAGACAGCCACTGGTTAGGAGACAAGCAGTTTGGCCTGGTCTGAGATCCGAGCTGAGCTCCGGAATGCAAAGAGCCAGCCCAGCATGTGGGTCCTGCTTTCCCAGGCTGGCAATCCCAGGGGCCTACCGGTGTGGCCTGGGGTCCTCTGCGTGGAGGCTGTGTGCCACCAGACAGCTACCACTGTGCTTTTGTGGGCAGAAAGGAACAGAGCCCATGCCCCGCCCTGCTGGGGCCCCAACCATGCTGACCTCAGCTACCGGGCACAGACCACAGACCCTGCTAGGAGGGGGGCCTCTAGCAGTGGGGAGGGGGTGGAAGGGGGGTTATAAAGCCAACTCTTCACCGGGTGTGAGCACAAATGCATTGTAGAAAGGTGGAGAGGGCAGGGGACCCTTCTCAGCCCCCCACAGCTAAGAGGGGCCACAGAACGATCTTGCCAATGAAATGTGTGCAGAAGTGGTGCCATGTCCTGGGTAAAGCACTGAAAAGCCAGGATGCTACTTCCATGCTCCTTCCTTCTCTTTGGCAGCAATTGTGGGGTCACGTGTAGAGGTGACAGAGCCACAAGATGGAAGTAGCCTGGATCCCTGAGCTGCCCTGAAGAGTTGCTCAACTCACCCAACTTCATCTGCATGAAGCCCCTGGAGTATCTGTTACTGCGGCAATGCTCAGCCCAGCCTATCTAACGTGTACCTTGCAGGACACTAGAGGGATTCAATGAGATGATGCACAGTGCCTTAGCATGCATAAATACTCGTATTGGCTGCTGTTATTATTACTCCCTGCTCCTTGACCCCCAAGGGTACCTGGGCCTCCCTGATTGTGAGCAGAAGCAGGACCCACATCCCCAGGACTCCCCCACAGCAGACGGCTGCTGACCTGTGCCGAGTAGCGCATTCCGTGGCAATGTCCTCCAGGTGGAACTCGGCCCAGGGGTCAGGCATGTGCTTGGCCTTCTCGATCGCATGCTTCCAGGCTTCCTGAAAAAGGCAAAGGGGGGTGTTAGGCCCAGACTGGGGGCCTCCCGCCTTGCTATGGGAGGCAGACTCCCATCTATTGTCCTTTTAGGACCACAGTCCCCAAAGGACCCTATCTGCTCCCATGGGCACAGCCTTCTTGTGGGCAGAAGTAACAAGTCTTAACTACATACCACTTCACTTGTAATCAAGAAGATGAGAATGAAAATAAAATACCATTTTCCCCAATCTTTGCATTCCCCATTCAGATTGGCAAACATTTTGACGAGTTTAAACATTTTAGCAAGTTCCAGCCACAATATGGGGAAACAGGTATCCTCACATACCATCAGTGGGCAATCCGGAAATGTACTAAAATGAAAAAAATACATTCCTTAATTTTGACCCAGCAGAGTTGATTCTGTAGAAATACAAACATGAGTGTGCAAACTTGGATGTACAAGGAGTGTCACTGTGATCATGCAAAACAGAATTCGACCCAAAGTCCATCTGCAGAGACTGGTTAAACAAATTCTGATTACATCCACTTAAAATCTAAGCAGCCCTTCCAAAACACTGCACTTGTTCTGTGGTGGGAATTTTTGACCTTACCAGACCCGATGTCACCTTTTTATACTAAATGTTGTGTAACACCCCATTTTACTGCCCTAAGTGAAATCCACAGGCAACACAATCTTCCTAAGCTCAGAGCATATCAGAATCATGCCAAAGATATGTTGCCTTTACATGTAACACAGCATTGAGCTCTGGACTCAGAACCGATTCCAAGGCCCTGTGGGACGCAGGAAAATTAGATGTTTCAGGCTTTCCTGCATCCCTGGCCTCCACCCACCTGCTGCCAGTCATGTCCCCATCATTGCAATGACCAAAAACATCACCCAAAACATTCGAAACCTGCTGAGAACCAGAGCTTTCTTGGGGAAGATGTTTAAGGCATATTATGAAGAAAAGAGAACAAGCTGTTGAACGGTATTATGGTGAAACATTTTTATTTTTAAAAAATCCATTTTATTGCTTTTGTGATACTAAGATAGAATCCCCCCGTCCCTTCCACACCAACACTCCTACACGGTGAGTAGAACCCCCTTTTCACCCTTTTCCTGAAGAAACTGAATCTTTGCCCTGTGTCCTGTGTAGAATCACTGAACCCAAAACTCCCTCCCAGGCCAGAGGCTGAGCCATGCAGTGAAGACTGGATGATGGACTGGACACCGTCTGGCATGGCAGGCCCACAGAAGCTCTGAGATGGAAAGGGACTCAAGGGACAGCAATTCCAGACCTCCCCATGCTCCTACTGGCATCCCTCAGCCACTATGCCAGCCTCTGCAGGAGCCCAGCTTCCCAGGGACTGGGTCCCTGATAGGGCTACCTGGTGCCCACACCCCTGCCTTGGGCCCCCTTGCTGAGATCCTGCTCAAAATAAAAGAGGCTCACCTCCCGAGACACACACATGACCCAGGGCTCCCTCATTGGTGCTTTCTAATTTCTACAAAGTCTAAAAAATAAAGCCCGTAATTTCTTTCTTCTAATTTGGAAGCTAATTTTTTTCTTGGGGTGTGGGGAGGGCTGGTCGGTGTGGGGAACCAAACCCTTAGACCTTGGTGTTATAAGGCTGCACTCTAACCAACTGACCTGAACAGACAGCCCCTGGAAGCTAATTCAGGTTTAATGAAAAAACTTGGAAAATACAGAAAACAAAAAGTCAAATCCACCATACTCCGTCCACCGGAGCAACTACTGTCACTGCCTTAGGCTAGTTCTTTTCCAGATCTTTTTTTTTTTTGTCTTTTTTTCGTGTCCGGCAACGGATCGCAAGCCTCAGTGTCGCGCCCGTACCGGACCGGGACCAGCAACGGGATCGCAACCCTCGGTGTTGCTCCCACACCTCGCTCAGCCAGTGAGCGGGAACCGGTTTGTATGTGGGATCCGAACCCTTGGCGGGAGCGCCGCCGCGCTCCCAAGCGGCGCACTGTAGCAGTGCGCCACCGGGCCGGCCCTCTTTTCCAGATCTTTTATGTGCGTTTTTAATAACACTGGAATCACACTGTGAATATAATGTACATCCTTTCAGGAGAGCATGTCATTGGGACTCTGTCCTTTATTTAGCGGTCTTGATTTTTTTTTTCTGATTCTGGTGAAAACTGCATGCACTACAGAATTCTGAATTACAAAGTGGAAGTCCACCCTAACCTCCTTCCTCTAAAACCACAGCTGACATCTGATGTGCTATTCTGCAAGTTTTTTCCTACGCCTTGTTAACACAAACATGTATTTAAGAGCAATCACATATTACACATTCTGTTCACATCTTACTTTTCTCCACTTAAGGCAGGATCCTGGACTTCTTTCCATGTCATATGAACAGACTGGCTGGGTGACTTCCTTCCCATGGCTGCGATAGACATACTTGTGCAAATGTACTTTAAGATATTTGTCTAACCCCCAGTTGACAGACATTTGGATGCTCTCCAATGGGTCCTGGTACAAAGGGTGCTGAAGTGAACATCCTAATATCTAAATCTTCGCATGCTTGTAGAATATATTTTTTGGAAATGTAACTGCTGGATCACATTTAAATCTAGAAATTATCAAGTTCTCCCAATAGTTCTCCTAAATTACACTCAAAGAAGCAGCGAACAAGTCACTTAAATCTTTTAATACAAAGATTACATCCAGCAATTGTGAAATGTACGGGTTAGTTGCAACTTGTTTTAAGAGCTGCACAATAGTCCCTTGTAAGAGTCTGTCATTGCTGACAACCTCTGGCCTGGGGTTCTCCACTGTTAGACCCTGAGCTTCTCACTGATTTCTTTCCTGCTACAAATAACCTCACAGCAGACATGTCTACATCTAAAACATTTTCTGAATTTTGAACCCTGTATTTTATAAAAGTGCCAGGGTCTGCTCTCATATTTCGGATGCTGTGCATGGCAGGGAGAGCACTCGACCCCTGCTTGTCGGGAGCCTGCAGTGTCCTGAGAGGTCAGCAGGTCCCTTCTGAGAGTCACTGCACATGTGCCCTGTTCTCTGCCTGAGACACACGGCTCTCTGCACCTCTCTCAGTGACTCCACCACTCCTTAAACCACCCATGACAGGGGCCAACCCCACTCAATGAAGGTTATCAACAGAAATTATCTCCCGGCTGGAGGCCATGGCACCAACCAAAACAGTCAAGGAAGAAGGTATTTCATAATTAGAGGGTGTGGTTTTGCATAGGGTCAAAATTATGTTTTTTCCAAACCCAGAGCTGAACCACACCACATCTACGGGCAGTAGGTGGGTTTAATGCAATTGACTTTTTTTTTTTAAAGCATGCTATAAAAATTCCTGGACTAACATTCAAATCCCTTGACTCTGGTTCCAGCCCTCCACCGACTATCTGTGGGACTCTCCATTTCCTGGTTTACAAAGGAGGATGAAGTAGGTTTTGGCTAGTGGTGGTTGACTTTCTTGTGGCCCCCACACCTGAGGTAGGCACACTCCCACCAGAAACAGTGGCTCACTGAGGTAGCAGTGCTCATTAGGGGTGACCTTGCCTGAACTGTGAGTCACTGGTGTAATATTTTACCACCAGGTCAGGAAAAATGGGCTGATGGAGGCTTGGGAAGTGGATAGTCCCAGACACCTGAAGGAGAGGGGGAACAGGTACCTACACCTTTGAGAGCCATCTGGCAGTAGCTGTGAACCTTCTCCTGCCTGACTGACTTGGGACCCAGCCATTCCCATCACCCGCCCAGGTGTGCCCAGGTGAGCTGGCCCAAGGATGGTCAATATCTATCATGCTATCATGGTCAAGCAGTGCAAAGAACCTGCCCTTCCACAAGGGGATGCTCACATACGCTCAGTATACTGGTATGCAGCTGCTAAAAAGAACAAGGTGCTGACATGGGTGATTTCTACGATTTATTTTTCAGGGGAGAAAAAAGCAAGTTGCAAGGCTTGCCGGTTGCTCACTTGGTTGGAGCCTGGTGCTGAGAACACCAAGGTCAAGGGTTCAGATCCCCACACTGGCCAGCCTCCACAAAAATATAAAAAATAGTAAAAAATAAAAAAAACAAGTTGCAGAATGATACAAAGAGTACAACACCACTTACTGATGGAGGAAACCCACAGATCAATACCATGGATTTTCAAAGGATGTGCGTACCTGTAGATATATTATATACATATATATGTAGATAAACCCACAAATCAATACCATGGATATTCTAAGAATATGTGCGTCTGTAGAGATATATATACATGTATATATATATACATATACATATATATATATTTGTATATAAACCCACAAATCAATACCATGGATATTCTTTTTTTTTTATGCCGATACCATGGATATTCTAAGGATGTGTGTGCCTGTATATTTATATGTAAATGCATAAAAAGAGGACTGAAAAGTGGCTTACACCAAACTGACGTAATGGTTACCTCTGGGGTCAGAAGGGGATAAGAGGTTGATCAAGCAAACTTCAGCTTTATCTACACTGTCTGCATTCTTTTTACCATGAGAATGTATTCAGGTATTGCATGTGTAAATCAAAGTTAATAAACAAAAAAAATCACTGAGTTAGATAAGGCCCTGCTAGCTCTGTTAATTAATTCTCTAGTTCTAAGATTCTAAAACTGAGTTGTTGAGTAGGCTAATTAACTTACAAAGAACAGGGGGCCAAGGGTGTTTCATGAAAAGGAAAACATAACCCTAGAGAACAGAAAGGCTTTGGTTCTTCAAAGCCTGAGAGTACAAAATAAAAATAAATAATAATAATTAGAGTAATAATAATGTACTTCCTGGAATATGCCAGGAATGAGGCCAGATGTGTGGGTAATGTGTTTGCACATAGGACGTTGTCATTGTCGTTGCTGTTTTTACTTTACTACTTTGGCACACAGGATGTCGTCATTGTTGCCGCTGTTTTTACATTATTACTATCACTATTATTATTACTATTTATTATTATCACTATCACAGCAATCAAGGCCTCTGGATCTTACATAAGGA